AAAAATATCCGCAGCTGTTAAGCGGAAAAATTGACAGACATTAATAAAGAGAATGGAAAACAATGGAAGACTTAATGATTATTTTAAATGCAGAAGGAACGGCCCTTCCAAAACTGCAGATAGGTGGAGGAAAGTAAGTATAATTTTATATATGATCTTTTGAAAATGGAATATTGAAAAGTTACATCTTTGTAAACTATTGTTAACAGAACTTTATGTTAAAAATATTTGTTTTTTGTCTAAAAGGTTATTCAACAATGTCATAAATCAAATAATTGAAGTATAGCATCGTGTACCCGTGGTTAATATTCCTATTGAATTAGAATTTTTAGCAACTGATGATTATATCAATGATTTTATTTATTCATAAATTATACCAATAACGTAACTACAGGTAAACTATGTATTTTAGATGTTATTAACTATTTTTTTTTCTGAATGTTGTGTCAGAAATGTTAAAAAACATAATATATTTACATCTTTGCATAGATTTCCAGGTCTTTTCAGAGCCAAACTTTTATCTGTATTTACTTCTCCAGAAGAAAATCTTATTGAATTCTCTTGTGACAATAAATTGAAGACAAAATTCAACAGTAAGGAACGAAGTCACTTTCTGATATTATTAAAAAAAGGAACAATCTGAACATGACTCCATATTTGTGCTAGCCAAATCTCAGTTGTTTTCTATGATTCTAAGATTTTCAAAATGTGTTCTATGGAAAGGGGTTTATTCTTTCCACTAATTACCGTTCATTTAGTCAATGATATAATTGTTCAAAAATATTTAGAACATTGTATAAATTGTTTCTTAATATAAATATTTCATTTATCTTTAAAATTTAATCAACCTAATTGTATTAGCTGCCTGTATGCTGGAATTGACAGGTCAAGCAGAAAGCTGAATCTGAGTACTATTGATTTACATGAATTCCATAAACTGCTAATGCTTGGGAATATTACTACAAATCATGTGCACGTTACACAACATAAATTTACTTTTATCATTCTATTAGAGTGTATCTTTCTGTATAGCATGCTTATGAATATGATCTTGTTTTATATGATTCCTTTTTTAAGCATGCATAGGAGTACTTACACATGAATGATTAACAGGTTAGAAAATATTATTATTATACTATATGAAAAAAGGGCTAATCTTTGGAATATGGTAACAGGTAGTTTGGCGACATTTTGGTAAGCGATAAAGGGTACTAGCTAGGACTTTAGCAGTGTACATGGATAAAGTCAAGAGTGTGCGCACTGCCATTTTTGTGCAATTCTGGGATTTTTTTAAAGTGAAAATAGGTCGGCATGGATGATACCGCGTTTGTGCAGTTCTTAAAAACGCGGCAAGCAGTGGGCGATTCTGCACTTTGTCCCAATTTCGCACCTAATCTTTGTCATGATTAAGCACTTTTGTTCCATAAAAGTTCTAGCATAAGCGTAATTCGGCTAGCAGATTGTTGGGAAAAATATTGAGTAAAAAAAAAAAAAAAAAAAAAAAAAAAAAAAATGCCCTTTACTTCGCGAAAATGGCGTCCAAACAAAAACTAGCAGGTTGCTATAGCAGGGTTGGTCGCCAAAAAATCGCTAAGTTACCATAATCCAAAGATTAACCGAAAAAAGTGTTGCATATTTAAATTACACTAATGTCACTACATGTATAAAATTCTATGAAGTGTGACAAAATACAACATGAGCTTGCTTATCAGTAATTATTTTTGACTCGGATAAAATACAAATCATAAATTTCATCAATATATCTGCTTTATGTAGACATGGAGAGATTACAAATTTTCAATCAAGAAGAAAGCAGCTAAAATAGCTCAACATAAGAGAGAAACTGGAGGAGGCCCGGAAATTAAAGACAATTTGACACCATTAGAGGAGCGAGTTCTTGCACCTTATGGCAGCGTTATGTCACGTGGAAATGATGAAGTTCCTGAATCTGCTGTTGAATTTGAATGCTTTGTAAGTACATTAATTGTTAAATTTAAATCATGTTAGAAAATAAATGCTAGAAGCTTTAATGACTGGCTATATACACTGTGAAGTAAAAATGTACATATATTTCAGAATTATAATCCAATATATGACCTTCTGATTGTCCACATTCACATTTAATTATGATTCCTTGTATTAAATTTAAATAATATTAATCTTCTGGAATTTTAGGTACTATTCTTTATCGGAGTCCGATTCAGATATGCATGCATGTTTATTTTCATGCATGCATACATTTCTACATAAGTATGTGTACACATATATGCATATACATACATACATTTCTGAATCCGTCCCTATAACAGAAGAGTACCCAATTTTATTCCACAAGATATGTTTGTAAATTTTGCATATAAAAGTGAAATTCATTTCCAATTTTGTTAGTATCTCCTGGAAAAGAGAACATGTTTCTGCACCTAGTTTTCAAATTTGAAAATGCAGTATGTTTTAATAATTAGTATGATTTTAGTTTTAAATAATGCATATTCATTATCTCGTAACATTCTAAAACCATACCTTATAACTTTTTCTTTTGGAGTACTTACATAAAGGCATACTAGTGTTACATACAATTTTTATAGCATTCAGTGAGTTTTAGTTTGCTGTTTCAATGATAAAAAGTTATTTTAAATGCTATAATTCTTTCAACTTCATTGCCTTAAATGAAAGCATTTTATTTGTATAAAAGTCTTAATAATACTTATTTTCAAAGCTCTTTTTTATTTGTATAATATTTCTTAATAGTCAATATTGTCAGTCATCAATCTTCACAACTACTTTTATTTCAGGAAAATGTTTCTCCTGAAAATATATCAGAAGGAAACATTCCACTGTGTGATGTCGACTTCAACACATCATATGAGGTTATAGCCAGTGCTTCAAATGGTGGGTCAACTTTTATAAAAATCATTTTAAGAATTAATGTTCTAACTAAAATGTTCATGGTTTCCTTTTTATAAAATGCAAACTGTTTTATTTTCAAATCATTATTTAAAACTTAACCATTAATCCTCTAAAGCAGCCCTTATCTATTGTCTATCAATCTTACTTTCAGAACAAAAATGTTAAAATATACATCATATAGCAACAAAATGTTGAAGTGTATAATAAAAAATCCACAATTATGATTACACTGTTTAAAAATGTCATGCAATCTAAAATATCAATTAGTTCAATATTTGAACATTACACTGGTATGCAAAATTTAACGATAAGATGGTTTTGCAAATGTAACATTACACAGAAGTGTTCCACGTTGACCCAGATCATGCGATGTGTACGTTGTGCAAATGATTCAAAATTGGTGAAATGTGGAGTGTACTAATTTTTTATTTTACAATCATAATCACATGCAAGCCATCTTTCCAAGTGATGTCTTACTCATGTAACAAAAAAAAAAAAAAAAAAAAAAAAAAAAAAAAAAAAAAAAAAAAAAAAAACTGAAAGCTTTCAGATTTTACATTACATCCAAAGGGGTGTTTTTTTTTTTTTTTAACATTTTGTGTTACCTTTATTTATTAACTATCATGATCTTTCCACTTAAACCATAAAATTCAGTTCAACAGCAATATTGCAAAATAATTTTTAAATGAGCATATCTTTAGAATTTCCGATACACAGTCTCGCGCGCTGGAGATATATTTTTTTTCTTCCCCCCGTACAGTGTTGCTATTTCTCGCTTTGAAATCATTGAGTGCTTTAATCAAAAATTTCTTACTGTTACAAAATAAGAAATCGTTAATAAAACAAATTCCAAATTAGGGCTTCTAGATGTCCATATACAGTGGAAGATTACATTATTGAAAATTTGATGTTTTTAGGTACCGTAGTTTTTTCTCAATGCGAGAATTTATCATAGTTTGGATTAAAAAAACTGAGCGAGCCTTGCAGGTTTGCTATAATGACAATACGCGCCATGCAAGGTGCCAAAAAGAGAGAAAAGACATGAAGTAATTTTAAAGCTAAACTGTTCTAATGACTGAACAATTCCCAAGATGGAGAAATATAGGACAAGTGAGCAAAACCATCCAAACAAAAAATCAAAAGGATGAAAATGCTCTCCAGAGGCTTGTGAAAGGATGCTGTGTGCTTGTCCTTAATTTTTGCACATCAACCTATTAAATATTGGAGATTATATTAAGGATTATTGTTTACTATAATTAAAATATAAAATATTTTTCAGATAATTTTTTATTATTCTGACATGTCTGAATTTCAATTACTATTTTCAGATTCTAAAGGGAAAACGAAAGCCTACGGCAGCACAGATAGCTGACAGGCTTCTTCAGAGTCACAACAGCACTGCACAACATCAGTTGCATATAGCTGAGTGCAAAGAAAAGGAAATCAAACTACTAGAATTGCAGATAGAGCTGCATAAACAGAAGCTGGAGTTTTATGCAATAAAAGCAGCTGCAGCAGAAAGAAGAGCTGTTGCAATCGAGAGACTAGCTTTGGCAGCTGAGAGGCAAGCAATGGCTGCAGAAAAGCAGTGTGCGTGGACAGAAAAAATTTTCCATTTAAAAAATAAAAAAGTTAAGACTGATAATCAAAAAATAAATTTTCAAATGAGAAAAGAAAATCTAAAATATCTGTAATGTGTATTTTTGTAATAAAATTGATTTAATAATAATTAAAAAAAGATAAATATTTTGGATATGTATTATTGTGCTTCTATAACTTCAAAATCTAAATCAAATACATATATTCAATTAAAAAATTTATTATCATTAGTTTTAAAAACGAGTTAAAATTAAATTATCTCTGATTTTAAGAGCAGCAGCTCTTAATGATGGTTCAAAAACTGTTGGTGGAATTGGTCCCCATGGTTCTTCTCTGCAATCATTTTCAACATCGGGTAATTTGTAATGCCTGCAAATATTATGCAACACTGCACAGGCATTTACAATTTTCCCAGCAGTTGTTGGTTCATAATTTAATTCTCTTGCATGCAGTAGACAGCGAAATCTTGATTTCAAAACCCCAATACATCTTTCAATGCAGTTTCTGGCTGTTGCATGCTTCTTGTTATATCTTTCATTAGCAGATCCTACAGTTGGGGAAGACACAGGAGTCAACAACCATGGTTCCAAAGGATAGCCTGCATCACCTGAAGTATTAAAATATATTTTTCACACTTGTGAAAAGTAATTTATTTTTAAATACTTTGCAATTAAAGTCTTAAGTACTAAATACTTAATATATATTAACCAGAGAGATATATACCACATGAAAAACAATGAAACTTTACATAAATTACTGACACAAAACTAAAAAATTACTTTCCTAAAAGCCAAGAGCCAGTTTCATGATGCCTGGAAAGTGCATGCCGAACTCCTGAAGATCGCCACACAAATGAATCATGTGAACTACCAGGAAATTTCGCATTGACGTTGGTGATCATCAAAATCAGAATCGCAAATCTGAAATAAAACGAGGTCACATGAAATCTTCATATGCTTTAATATTATTTTTGACCACTAGACATAAGATGTCAGAAATATACCAATCAAATTATCGTTCAATCTAAACTAGAGATGGGTGTGTCGTGTACCCAATGGCTACCAAAAACAATCACACCAGGTGAAGGGCATCTATGGTATGGTTTGGTTTGGTTTATTAGATTACGGCAAAGCACTCGAGGGGCTATCTGCCTTGAAGGAGGGATGCCTTCGTGGAGGACTTTTTAAGGGAAACTGGCTCATATACACCCATGCAGCCAGCCCGTTCGCGGGATTTGAACCTCGGGCCGAACTACCAGTGTTTAGCGACGTTATCGCTCGGCCGCTGGTGGGCTTGGGCATCTATGGTGACACTGAATGCAAGAAGTGACGTGCAGTCTCCTTGAAGCCTACAGACATGCAGATCAGAATACTGTATGCAGAACCGGGACTGGTCTGAAAAGATGACACTGTGCCACTCCTGTATCCAGCTTTATTGTCCAATGCACCAAAGTAGTCATCTCTCTCTATGCTGCATTATCAAGGGAAGTTGAAGAAATGATTGCCGTGCTGATAGTCCACACTGCTGCAAAGTCGACGCTCTGTATGAACGGATACTGGGCATGCTGCAAACATGCCCATTTCCTGACTAATGATTTGTGATACGGTTATATGGTTTGTCAGGGCTGACCTCATAATATATCTGTCCTCTCGGGCGTTGACATGCTGCATGCTATTCAGTATGACACTCAGCAACCCATTGATTCCCTATTCACATGACTATGGTTGGATGTCGACCAGTGCGACGGGCGATTTCACGGAATGATAATCCACACTCTTGATAGAAAGTGGAGTATTTTGCGGTTTCGCAGCTGAGTATGAGTTGAGTTGAGTTGAGAGCAGAATCTGGACACCCGTGCGGCTTACTAAGACTATTCGGGTCTAGTCCAGGTTCCGCAACTATCCGGGGCAACACCTCATGGGGCCTATAAGGGCATACATTGGTCCTGTATACATGCTTACATAGTTCATAATATATGCTTACATAGTTACATAGTTCATAGTACATGCTTATATACAAGTAGTTCATAATACTTGCTTACATAGTTCATACATATACATGCTTACATACGTAGTTCATACATATACAGCTTACATAGTACATAATATATTGAGCCTGTTACATAATACATACATATAGTTCATAATAATTTTCATTGGCCATAGTACATAGTTTCATAATATATGAGCCTGTTACATAATACATACGTAGTAGTTCATAATAATTTTCATTGGTCATAGTACATACATGTTTCAGAATATATACAGTGGGCCGTAATACATACATGTTTCATAATATATACAATAAAATAATAATAATAATAATAATAAAATAAATAAAAAAAAAAAGATAGAGAGAGAGAGAAAGAGAGATTGACAGGGAACTATTCCACACTGCACAAATCTGTTCCCAATTCCTCCAGTTTCTGCATTACCTTGCATATTTTGATGCGAAATGCTGGCAGTTTGATCAGATAACGCTTATGAGAAGTTGCCTGTTCCGGAAGCTGCACATGCCACTGTGCAGTTAGAGGGCATTGGGTCAAGTAATGGTCTGGTTTACCAATGCCTCCACAGACACAACTTTCGGTATTTGCAATTCCTCTCTCATAGTAATAGGAGGGGAAAGGCCCGTGCCCCCGTCACAAATCTCGTTATTTGTGGGGATGACTCGAGACGATCGAGCGAAACTTTATGGTAATATTCATAGGTCTTCCTGCTTTGTTCGGTAGAGTCCCATTCCCATTGCCACTGGTGCTGAGCTGCTGTCCTTGTCACTTTTTTAAGGTGAGACCACGGGAGTTTGGTAATTACGCATTGTGCATCTATATTGTGAGCTGCTTCTTTTGCTAGCCTGTCGGCTTCCTCATTACCTTGAATGCCGGCATGTGCCTTTATCCAAGATATGAGGATATTCATTGTCGACGAACGCTCCTTCAGCGTGTCCTGAATCTCCGCTATGATAGGAGAAGGATGTCTGGGATTTCGTAAGGCATATATGACCGAGAGGCTGTCTGTAAGAATATTAACAGTGGATCCTACTGGGGGGCTTGTTAACTCGATAGCTTTACGAATCGCAATTGCTTCAGCCTGGAAAACTGAATTATTCTGTCCCATATGACCTTTCCATGTTATCAGCGTTTCCTTGTTCTTAGTTACTATAAGGCCACAGCCTACTTGTCCGTCAACTTTTGAACCATCCGTATAAACATAATAATGATCCTTTATGTCAGAGTCATCTTTCCATGATGTGTGGGCCGAGACTCCTTTTCCGTAGTTAGACGAATGGATGACATTTACTGGCCTTATTTTTTCATGGAGGCTGTGCTGAGAGGTGGTGTGTGTGCTACAACCCCTTTTCCATGGTGTGAAGGATGGGTTGCATTTATGAGACGTTTTGTTTCATACTCCTCTGGATCATAGCATAGCGGTCCAAAAGTAGTGCAGAGATGTAATTGGAGAACAGTCGTTACTGCTGCTTCTTGTGCTGCTCTAATATGTAATGGCAAAAGTCCCGCCAGTATTGTGGCTGCCGCTGTCGATGTTGTACGGTATCCTTTTGTAATAGCCAGAGCCAAGGGGCGTTGTATACTACTGAGCAATTTCCTTTTCCTTTCGTTCATTGGAGTTGCCCAGATTGCCGCTCCATAGAGGGCCATTTTTTCCACGACGGACTGATAGAGGATTTTTAGGATATGTGGTCTAAGACCCCCAGTCTGAGCCTTGAAGCCTCTTTAAGGTATTTGCAATTGCGTGTGTCCTCGCGCGGACTGCTCTGAGATGAGGCAGCCAGGAGAGCTTTTCATCGATTATAAGCCCCAGCAGTTTTAGTTCCCGAGTTCGTTTGATTGTACGGCCCTTTAGTTTCAAAACTGGATTTCTTGCAAGAGTTTTGACCTGGTTTGTGTACGATCAAATACTTTGACTTTTGCTCCGAGATGGTGAGTTTCTTGCCTTCACAGAGCCGTACAAATTGTGCTATGGTCTCATTACTGTTACTTTCCAGCTGGTCTCTCGATTTGCCTCTGATGATAAATGTCGCATCATCAGCAAAAGCAATCACCTTTGTGTGGGTTGGCCACAGTGCTTTGAGAATGGAATTAAAAGTTGCATTCCATAGGTCAGGACCTGCACATGAACCCTGAGGGCAACCCCTGGTCTGCTTTCTCTCAACAACTCCTCCGTCATGCACTGCTACAAGAGTGCGATCAGAGAGATAACTTTTGCACACCTGCAGTACAGATTATCAGGGATCTGAGCGTCGTGAAGTGCTTCCAGGATTGCTGGCCACCACAGGGAATCGAACGCACTTTTCAGATCCAGACTGAGTACGGCTACATGGTTGTTAGAGTCATACGCGTCATAGATTCCCTTTTGTATGGCACTAAGAGCTTGGATAGTTGAGCGCTGCTCTCGAAAACCATACTGAGAGTCCGTGATCTCACCCTTAATCTCCAAGTAGTGCTTTATTCTCTGAACTAAAAGTTTCTCATAAATTTTCCCTATGGCGGGCAGGAGACAGATGGGCCGGAATGAGGCTGGATCGTTCGGGTCCTTTTCTTTCTTTTGGAAAAGAATAACTTGCCCTGTCTTAAAGGGCTTGGGAAAATAACGCAGTTGGAGCAATTTATTGTAAAAATTTTTAAGAAACGTTGGTTTTGCCTGATGCATCGCCTTGACAATGTTGTAGTCCTAACGAATCGGGCCCTGGGGCTTTGTTTCTCGGTAGATTTCGCAAAACAGCGCAGACTTCAGGCTGCGTGAATGACACGTCATCTTCTGTTGTGGAGTGTAGAAGATAAGCTGGATGTTCTGGATTGGAAGCATCCAATGTATTGTCGTCTTGAAAGACTGCATCAAGAATCTTGGTGAGTGTTGCCGCGATAGTGCTCCTGTGCTCCTCTGTGTCGGTTGCGGATTATTGGTGCCGTCTATGTAGACCTTGTGAATTGGAGGGGCAAAGACCTTATTCGTTGCGATTTTATGCAATACCCCATAGGGATTTTTATTGTTTGTGCAAAACGCCCTCCAGCTGTACAACTTGGCTTCTAGAATGGCCTTTTTATACTGGGCTTGTGCTTTTTTGTAGATAATACTTAGTTCTTCTCGGCGTTCTGATTTATGCTCCGACTTCATCTTTCTGCGAAGAGCTCGGGTCTTACTCCTTTGTATCCTGAGGCTTTTAGTCCACCAGTTGGCAACATAGTGTACCTTTGGAGATTTGATCTGGAAAGTAGAATCACAAATGGCCTGAAGCTCTTTAATTAGGATACTAGTGAAGTTATCAACATCATCTGTATTGTGGCAGTGTTCTAAATCTTGTTCTGCACGTGTGAGTGTACTGCGGGCCTTTTGGCTGAAGAGCTTTAGCGTCCTTCGCTTGAGTTTGTACCTCTTGATTGAGAATTTTTTATTATGGTGTCCTATGCTGTACGTAATGTATTTATGGTCCGAGTTAGACGGGGTATCATCAACCATCCAGGAATGCAATTTTGATGCAAAGGCCGCTGTTGTTAAGGTTAAATCTGGCCAACCCTGTCCGTGAATTGTTTCATATGTGGGTTGACTGCCTGGAACATTATGCAGGACGAGATCATTACAGGCAATGAAGTCCTCTACCTGTCGCCCTCGAGCATCAGTATCTGAGTAACCCCACAGTTCCGAGTGGGCGTTGAAATCGCCCGCTAGTAGATGGTGTGCTTTTGGATACGCTTTCAGGATTTCTTGTTGCTGATCAAGTGAGGCTTGCACGTCTGCTGTAGGAGGAATATAAACGTTAGTAATTAGTAGGTTCAGTCCTATTGTTTCAATTGCTATAGCGATTATGTCTCTTGAACATCTGATTACATTGGGAGACCATCTTTGGCGGCAGCAAATGGTGGCGACTCTGGGTTCGTCAGTAGCATTGACTACTGTCCATGAAAGTGGGAAGTTGATGATTCTATTGCCATGCTGATAAGGTTCCTGAATGAGTATGAAGTCAATTTCATGCTCCATTACGAATTGTGTGAGTTGGGCCGTTGCTGCTCGTGCTCTTTGCAAGTTTATTTGCACAAATTTGACACCAGCAATATCCGTGATCAGCTCATTCAGGTTCCCGTTGCTCAGTGCAGCAGGGTGGGAGTTTTGGAGCGTATCATAACTTGATTGAGGTAAAACGGTTTTCTTCATCAGGAATGGGTACTCGGCCTGGCCCATTAGTATGCCGTGATGTTACGGATGTAACTTGCAGCTCGTTGGTATTCCGGACATTGCGGTGAGTAGGCAGGATGCCTGAAATCATATTTGGAGCCGTGTCTGTGATTTGAGTCACTGCAGTTGATGCAGATAGGGTGCTGTGAGTGACATTCTCGTACACACTATGGTTGTCTCCGCAGAAGGAGCAGTAGCTACTTTTGCTTTTACAGACATCTTGGGTATGTCCCAGCTGTTGACATTTGAAACAGCGTCGTATTCCGAGGTATTCTGAGATGGTGTGCACATTCCACCCCGTGAACACCTTTTTGACTCTAATGATGGCTGCAAAACTGGAAGGCTCACATTCAAGGATCCACTTAAGTCTGTTAGACCTTCTCTCCTTGAGCTTAAAGAGTGCTCTAATCGCATTGTGTGAGACGTTTGCTGCGCTGCTGAGTTCAGCGATAATATCCTCTGGCGTGACTGACTCTGGTACGTTGTGAATGGCACATCGTGGTTTTCTTCTCTGCCTTCTATGCAGTTCGGCATGTACATTTGCATGTTCCAGGTGTTTCTCGAGCCTGTTGACATCCTCTGTGGATTTGCAGAAGACCTCTAGCCCTCCTTTTTTGGTAGGCAATATTCTGGCAACTGTCACCTGAAGTTTCGAAATCGGAGCTTTCTCTTGAAGTTCCTTTTTCAAGTCTGCTTGAGAGATATTGCCCTTCGGCTGTATAATTAAACTTGGCTTGCTAGACTCTCGTAATACGTCTGCAAAGGTTTTCGGTTGTATGTACTGAGGACAAGGAACGGGAAAAAACTGCTGTTGAAGTGTCCAGGGCGCTCCAGTCGTCGGTGTTAGTTGCCACGTGCACAGCTGGTTCTTTAATCGTGTTCGTTCCAGCGTCAGCGAAAATCGACTGAACTGTGCAATCTGACCCGTGGAGTGCCAGATTCTTGAGTGCCTCAAGAGTAGACAGAAGTCGTACTCTCTCGTCCTGAGGAATAACAAATTTTCTACTTCTTTTCCGTTTTGCGATAGCAATGCATTCGTTAATCAAAGTTGTAATTTTGCCCTCGTAAGTTATTTCATATGAGTAAGTTGGAGGTGCCCGCGATGCTGACTCCGACACTACTGAGGAGGATGAGGATGATGAGGCAGGGGCTAAATCCTTTGCATTTGCATTGGCCATTGGTACAAGATAACGGGAAATAAACAGTGGGGTCGTAGGCACATAAAGGAGTCACAGAGTAATAAGTACAAAACTGAGTATCAAGGGTCCCTGAGTACGATGCTACAGTGAGTGAAACCGCAGGGAAATACAGAGAAATATACGGTCAACTTAATAATAACTAAAATGAGATATTACTAAAGCAGTGCGCATAAGGAGCACGTGGAAAACACTACAGAATCAAGTGCGTAAGAAAGCGTTACACACAGAAATACTTTTGGCATTAAAATCTGAATGTGCTGAGAGTTACTTAAAAATGTAAAATGTATTAAAATGTAAAATAAAATGTAAAATGTAAAATAATGCTAATTTTTTACACCATAACAGTTCTAGGCAATAGTAACAAAGATAATACTCCTAGCCACAAAATCACTGAACGGAAGCATATAAAACAATCGTGAGTGAAGGATATGAGGATAATAAAACAGTTATAAATAGCATATAAAACAATCGTAATTGAAGGAAATGTGGACAATATAACAGATATAATAAAAACAAGTGAAAGTTATTGCATAACCTTAATACGAAACAGAATTTCAGAGATTAAGAATTATATAACACATTTGTGGGAGTTATTACAAATCATAAACACAGTGCACAATACAAAGGATTTACACACAGAAAATATAAAACTAACAGTAATATTAATAGTTATTAATATTAGAATAGGTACTCATAAAGCAACGGTAAAATTAAAAAAAATAGTAATAATAATAAATAAATAATTAACAGTTAACAATTAGAAAAACATCCACGTAACAGTGGGGATAGTGGGAATGATAATTGCGTAGATAAAGTCGCTAGAATGTCAATCGTAAACAACAGAAACGTATCAAAAGGGACACTGGTGGCGAGCTACGCTCAAAACAGCTAAGTACTAAACGTAAACAAACACACGTGCAGGGCGACTGTCAACCACACTCCACTAGACTAGACGCGCATGCGCTCTAGAAGGGTGACAGGAAGTCGTCAGACAACCGCGATAAGTGACTTGTCTTGCTGGTCCGACCATGGAGGTAGGAAGTAAGACCTTTCCTACCTCCATGGGTCCGACCCTGCGCCCCTACGACTAAAAATCAAGTCGGGTCTGTGGTGCTGGGGAAAGTGCAAGGTCACACAGAAGATATGTAATTAAAACAGATTACACTCAGCTACTAATTGTGCTATTAAAACAAGTGAGGTATCAAATTAAAGACAATTTTATGGCCTACCTTGCTGTCCAGGAATGGTACCGATATTACAACTCAGGCCGGAGATGCAGGTGTATTAATCCAAAAATTAGCACTAAAACATCACAGAATTAACACACTGTAGTAAATTGGACAAACACTTCACATAAACGGCAGTGGTATCGTTGAAAAGAGCAGGTCTTTCACTTTTCGATGGTACTTAGATTGAAGTTGGATGCCTATTAGATCCGGAGATATCGCTTTGGAAGTAAACACTGCAAATCCGCCCTTCGCTCCAAAATCCGCATTCCACAATAGGGGTCGGAGGTCGCGAGACAAACAATGACTCCCCTTTTAATATGCTTGATATTAAGGCACTAATAGGCGGATTCTCATAAATTTATATCAAAATGCGCAGCTTGTGAGGAGCTAGCCGATGATATTATTTTCGCTGGGATGCAATTATTATACCCTAGGGAAAAAACAGTAAAAACGGAAGCTCGCGAAAACACGTCGTCGCCCTTTTCACCTCGAGGGATTCTCGAATTGGAGAGACAATGAATGGGGACGAGTACTCTTTACAGATGAGAGCAGATTCAGTCTGAGTAGCGATTCTCATCGCATACTCATCTGGAGAGAGCGGGGAAGCCGCAATCAACCCTCGAACATCATTGAAAGGGACAGGTATGGAGGTGGCGGTGTTCTCGTTTGGGGAGGCATCATGCTTGGTAGTCGTACAGACCTTCACATCTTCGACGCAGGTTCAGTCAACGGGACTTAACGGGTGTAACGAGTTTCTTCTTCCATATGTGCGTCTTTTTTAGAGGCGCTATGGGTCCGCAGTTCCTTTTCATGGACGACAATGCACATGTCATCGCACAGTAGCTGCCGAACAGCTCTTAGAGAGTGAGAATATTGAACGTATGGATTGGTCGGCACGATCTCCGGATCTCAATCCCATCGAGCATGTATGGGATTTTCTAGGCAGACGCTTGGCAGCTCGTACCTTACCACCAGTAACGATTCCGGAGCTTCGATTGGCGTTGCAAGACGAATGGGCAGCAATGCCTCAACAACTCATTGACACCCTCAT